ATGGGGGAAGGTATAGCTAATTTGCTCTCATATGTGGCTTGAATGTAAAGGAAAAACCCAAGATATATGTTCATATGTATATTCACAGACTATGAAGTCTAATTACTTACTTTTCCCAATCTAGAACAAATATAAATATAATAACTCAATTATTCTATTAAGATCCAACTCATTCATACTTATGTTAGTACTGTTAATAAGAAGATATTAGATATTAGGTTAAGGAAAGCTTCTAACATGAACGTTTTGATTTAAGATATGTGTAGGTGGGCTTGAAAATGAGAGAGTGATGGCAGTTTTAGAAATCATGTCCTGATTTTTCATCTCACACTCTAGCTTTTGTCAGCTCCCACTCTAGTTTTGAACATTCTGCCATTCATTCCTATGGGAAAATTTCACCACAAAAACGGAGATATTTCGTGAACCATTCGGTGAAACGTTCTACAAAGTAATAGCACAACAATCGGGAACAATCCGCACGTTTCGGTATATTACTTGTCTATGTAGTGTAAAAAACTGAGGGAGGAGTTAGGGTGGTAAATTTGGCTATAATAAGAATATATATGTGAGATAACAATAAGTGGTCTTGCCATGCAAGAACACTTAACTAGAAAAGCTACAATTTCTGGGGAAATTGTGTGAAGTGTTCTTGCCTCCACCAGTAGTCTACAACTGGAGTGGGTGGAGTAGCTTTTGTCACTCTGCTGCCTGCTCACACACCTGGGTTCCTATGGCAACTCACTCTACAGCAACGGCAGAGGAGCGGTTAAAAACAAACTTCTCCAAGTTGCTCACTTCACTGGCAGTTGCCACCTTCAAATTCTTGTAGTTTTAAAACTATAAATCCTACAGTGAAGAGTTTTATATTGTGAGAATCACAAGGCCCAGACCTACATTTTGATGCATAGTATGTCTCTGAAATATGAAAACTATCAGGACTATGACTTAGCCGTGGACAATTTTAGTGGCAGCAGGGATAGCTGAACGTTTAGATATAAGATTTGTGTAGGTGGGCTTGAAAATGAGGGAGTGATGGCAGTTTAGAAATCATGTCCTAATTTTTCATCTCACACTCTAGCTTTGTCATGTCCCACTCTAGTTTTGAACATTGCGCCATTTATTCCTATGGGACCAATTTCACCACAAAAAACAGCGATATTTCGTGAACCATTTGGCGAAACGTTCCACAAAGTAATAGTACACCAATCGAGAACAATCCACACGTTTCTGTATATTACTGTCTATGTAGTGTAAAAACTGTGGGAGGAGTTAGGGTGGCAAATTTGGCTATAATAAGAATAAGAATATATATGTGAGATAACAATAAGTGGTCTTTCCATACAAGAACACTTAACTAGAAAAGGTACAATTTTTGGGGAAATTGTGTGAAGTGTTCTTGCATCCAACCCTAACCAAATGATTGATGAAATGTAAGCAGTGCACATGGCAAGCCTGATAGAGTGAGAAATGCATTTCAACTTTTATTTTGCAGCTCACAGTCTAGCCTTGGTGACTCAGCTGCCTGGTGAGTCATCTTTGGTTGCTATAGCAACTCACTCAGTCAGTCACAGGAAGCTGAGAGGGGCTTTTCTAAACACACTGCTCCAACTTGCCAAATTCACTGGCGATTGCCATCTTCAAACACTTGTAGTTGTAAAAGTATAAATGCTACTGCGAAGAGCTTTATATTGTGAGAATCACAAGAGCCAGACCTACATTTTGATGTATAGTATGTCTCTGAAATATTAAAAATGAAGGCACAGTCGCAGTTTAAAATGGCCCTTGAAATTTCAGGTGTCTAGAGTGGAGTTTCAATGAAAGTCAGTGGGAGGGGTAAGTTGCAAACAAATGGTCATATTGTGAAAACTATTAGGACTATGGCTTAGCCGTGAACATTTTTAGTGGCAGCAGGGTTAGCTGAACGTTTTGATATATGATATGTGTAGGTGGGCTTGAAAATGACAGAGTGATGGCAGTTTAGATATCATGTCCTGATTTTTCCTTCCACACTCTAGCTTTGTCAGCTCCCACTCTAGTTGCGCCATTCATTCCTATGGGACAAATTTCACCACAAAAATGGCGATATTTCGTGAACCATTTGGCGAAACGTTCCACAAAGTAATAGCACACCAATCGGGAACAATCCGCACGTTTCGGTATATTACTTGTCTATGTAGTGTAAAAACTGTGGGAGGAGTTAGGGTGGTAAAATTGGCTATAATAATAAGAATAAGAATATATACGTATGTGAGATATAAATAGAACTGTCCTGCTTGACGTCCTTATCCCTTATGATTAAGTCGATGATGAAACGCGTCAAGGGAAGTGACGTCAAGACGCACACAGGAACCAGAAGTTGACCGGCGGCCATTTTGGAAAAGGGAAAGATCATCTATTTATCCCTGGACATTTCCTGGATGGCAGCAAGGCTACTGCATGGTATTAGAAGCGGTTTTGAAGTTTATAAAATGTGAGCATTCTGATTAAAGTTAATCTATATTGGTATATCTTGGCGGTATCACACTATTCTGTCCATCATATGTTTACATTTATATGGAGCATGGTATATGGGAAATATGGAGTATCATGTCTAATTGATCCTGATAGTGCCGTGAAGACAGAGTAAACCTGGTGGGGATCTACAGGACGGCCGTCTTCCACTAGTTATTGTATGATATTGAAAGCGTCTGTTTTTGGAATATTGGTAATCATGCAGATCACCAGGTGCATGCCCCTGGGGGCGCACGGGGAGGGCGTGTTCTGGGAGGACGTCCAAAACTGGACAACCGCGCTGTAGCCGTCATTCGGCTATAGCACGGTTGGCAAGTGGTTAAACTACCTGCAAGGTTGCACATCTGTACAATGTATAGAACCTGCTGCATCAAGACTGACATTTAAAAAAAAAAAATGAAATTTAACCGCTAGCCTACAGGGCACTTATACCCCCTTCCTGCCCAGGCCAATTTCCAGCTTTCAGCGCTGCCGCACGTTGGTGGTATTTAATCACCTCTGGGTTTTTTTATTTCTTCTTAAACAAACCAAAAACCACTGAAAATTTTGAAAACAAAATGCTTTTTTCTTAATTTTATAACAAAAACTTTGTAAATAAATGAGTTTTCTCCTTCACTGATGTGCGCTAATGAGGCTGCAGTGATGGGGACTGATAGGCTGCACTGATGGACACTGATAGGTGGCACTGATGGGCACTGATGAGGAGGCACTGGTAGGTGGCACTGATAGGCATTGACAGGCATCACTGATGGGCACTGAAAGGCAGCACTGATACATGGCGCTGATAGGCAGCACTGATAGGCAGCACTGACTGGCACTATTAGGCGGGACTGACTGGCACTGATAGGCGGCACTGACTGGCACTGATAGGCGGCATTGACATGCACTGATAGGCGCACTGATGCGCACTGATAGGCAGCATTGACTGGCACTGATAGGTGGCACTGATAAGTGGCACTGATTGGCAGCACTGATTGGCATTGATAGGTGGCACTGACTGGCACTGATGGGTGACACTGAAAGGCAGCTCAGATGGGCACTGATATGTGGCATTGATGTGCACTGGTAGGCACTGATGTGGCACTGGCACGAGGCACTGATGGACACTTACAGGTGACCCTGCTGGGGCTACACTGATCATCAGGGCACACTGATCATCAGTGCCCTGATGATCAGTGTACATGTCCCCTCCGCAGAAAGCCGATTACTGGCTCTCCTCTCCTCTCGAGCTGTCAGCGTGACAGCTCGAGAGGAGAGAAATGCCGATAACCGGCATTTCCGTGTTTACATGTGATCAGCTGTGATTGGACACAGCTGATCACATGACCGAGCCGACATCTTCGGCTCTTTCCGTGATTGGTGATCTGCTGTGTCCGAGGGACACAGCGCACCGCCGATCGCCGATTTGTGGTAGAGACTGGTTTTGTTCAGCCATGCTTGAGTGAGTAATAACAGGTCTGTGCTGCCCTTTGGTGCTGCGCGTTCTCTGAGCTGCGCATGCGCAGTGATAATGGGAGGACATCATATGACGTCCTCCCAGAACGAGAGAACCACCTTGCGCCCGTCATATTACTATATGGCGGGTGGGAGGTGGTTAAAAAAAACAAACAAAAAAAAACAAGCGTGGGGTCCCAACCCCTAATCTATACGAGATCCTTTAGGTCTGGTAGGAAGGTTAGGTGGGACTCCACAGTCAATCACGGTGTCCAGCATTGTCACGACGATGACAACTTGCCAAAATAGAAATAAACAGCCACCCACCGACCCGTCCGCACCCGCCAAGCACTCTGATATTTGCAATCTGATATTTGCCGGTCAAATGTAAACAATTGGGTGGAGCTAGCGGTGACATCACCGCTAGCTCCGCTCAATTGTGATGTGATTGGCCAAAGCATTGCACCTGACCACTTTTGCCAATCATGGCTCTCACAATGCACTGTGAGAGCGCAGTGCATTGTTGGGCATGACGAACACACAAACGGCTGATGTCCAAGTTCATCCCTACTGTTTAGTTAACTGCTTGCCGACTAGCCACAGTAGCTATTAGAGATGAGCGAATTATTCAAAAATTCGGTTCGGCTGATTCGCCGAATTCGCCGAATAAATTCGCTTCGAGCCGAATATATTCGCTGCGAATTTAACTTATAAAAAGGGTGTTTATAGGCTTCAGAGAGCCTTTATATTAGTGCAGAACACTGTACCTTTAATTTAAATGCCCTTGGAGTCTGCTGGGGAAGAGAAATAATACTGTCAGTCAGTATGACATGCAGATGAGTGCCGTCGATCTTAGAATCACCGCACACTTCACTCATTTGGGCAGTCACGGGGCCAAAACCAGAGTGTGGAGCCACAGTGTGGCGGTGGAGGCAGCAGCAATGGGAGGCCATACAGCACCCTATGACAAAATGGAACCCACCAGCAGTGTGAGGAGACCTGAAAGTGGCACATGGCAGAGTGTGGCGATGGAGACAGCAGCAATGGGAGGCCGTACAGGGACCCATGACACACTCTGGACCTGGCAGCAGCATGAGGAGGTGGTACAGGGGCCCATGACAGATTATGGGCCTGGCAGCAGCATGAGGAGTCGGTACGGGGGCCCATGGCAGATTACGGGCCTGGCAGCAGCATGAGGAGGCGGTACAGGGGCCCATGGCAGAGTGGCGGAGCGTAAGCAGCTAAAATTGAAGGCCATACAGAGGCCTATGTTAAAAAGTCCCCCCAGCAGCAGCGTGGGGAGACGACTATCAAGAGTCCAATGGCAGAGTGGCAGAGCAGAAGCAGCTTCAATTGAAGGCCATACACAGGCCTAGGTTTAAAAGTCCCTCACAGTTAATTCCAATAACGAACTCTACTCCTCCGTGCAATCTACTTACGAGACCCTGGGCAGGTCTGGGTCCAATTTGTGGTAGAGACTGGTTTTGTTCAGCCATGCTTGAGTGAGTAATAACAGGTCTGTGCTGCCCTTTGGTGTCTGGCTTAATGCGCACAACACTGAACGTCCCAGCGTTTGTCAACGATTTGCCGTTAAGTGATGCAAACCCGCTGAACCACGTTCATGAGGAGCCGGTACAGGGGGCCATGAATCAGTATGGACCTGGCAGCAGCGTGAGCAGACGACAGAGGCACATGGCGCAGGGTGGCGGTGTAGGCAGCATTATTCTGAAGCCATACACAGGCCTAGGTTAAAAAGCGGAAGCCGTCAGCAGCGTGAGCAGACGACAGAGACACATGGCGCAGGGTGGCGGTGGATGCAGCAGTATTCGGAAGCCAAACACAGGCCTCGGTTAAAAAGCGGAAGCCGTCAGCAGCGTGAGCAGACGACAGAGGCACATGGCGCAGGGTGGCGGTGGAGGCAGCAGCAATGGAAGGCCATACAGCACCCTATCACAAAATGGAACCCACCAACAGTGTAAGGAGACCTGAAAGTGGCACATGGCAGAGTCTGGCGATGAAGTCAGCAGCAATGGGAGGCCGTAGAGGGACCCATGACACACTCTGGACCTGGCAGCAGCAAGAGGAGGCGGTACAGGGGCCCATGGCAGAGTGGCGAAGCGTAAGCAGCTTAAATTGAAGGCCATACAGAGGCCTATGTTAAAAAGTCCCCCCAGCAGCAGTGTGGGGAGACGACTATCAAGAGTCCAATGGCAGAGTGGCGGAGCAGAAGCAGCTTCAATTGAAGGCCATACACAGGCCTAGGTTAAAAAGTCCCCCCAGCAGCAGCGTGGGGAGACGACTATCAAGAGTCCAATGGCAGAGTGGCGGAGCGGAAGCAGCTTCAATTGAAGGCCATACACAGGCCTAGGTTAAAAAGTCCCCCCAGCAGCAGCGTGGGGAGACGACTATCAAGAGTCCAATGGCAGAGTGGCGGAGCGGAAGCAGCTTCCATTGAAGGCCATACACAGGCCTAGGTTAAAAAGTCCCCCCAGCAGCAGTGTGGGGAGACGACTATCAAGAGTCCAATGGCTGAGTGGCGATCCGGGAAGTCAGCGTTGTGATTGCAGATGCAATGCAGAGATTCTATGAGTGCTTGATGCCGTGACACCCTGGGTGCGAAGAAGATCATATACCGTCGTACTTCCATCCAGTGATGGAACAACCTCAATTAAACCGGGAGCCTTTTAAAAAGCCCTGACCCCCTGAGCAGCTTCTGGGGATACCCAAGAGGCCCATGGCAGAGTGGCGGAGCGTAAGCAGCTTCAATTAAAGGCCATACAGAGGCCTATGTTAAAAAGTCCCCCCCCCAGCAGCAGTGTGGGGAGACGACTATCAAGAGTCCAATGGCTGAGTGGTGATCCGGGAAGTCAGCGTTGTGATTGCAGATGCAATGCAGAAATTTTATGAGGTAATGCCGTGGGTGCGAAGAAGATCATATACCGTCGTACTTCCATCCATAAGACGGAACAATCTGCGAACTGGGAGCTTTATTGCCCTGACCCGCTGAGCAGCTTGGGATACCCAAGAGTTTGGCTTCTGTGGGGAATATGGTTGAAAACTGAAACTTAAAGGCATGTTGACGGAAGGGCACCAGTGTCAGTGCTCCGGAGGGAATATAGCTTCAAAGCTGACACTTAAAGGTATATCGACGGTCAGAGACCACAGGAAGTGGAGCTTGCGTCTTAAATCGACTGAATGTGGCAGACGTGAAACGTCTACGGGCCGTATATGAAACGGGTTGTTCCTCTTTCTGGAATAAGTGTTGGAAATGGCCACTCTTTTTGGTGTGGCGTTTTGTCTATTTAATTCCGATAACGGACTCTACTCCTCCGTGCAATCTAGTTACGAGACCCTGGGCAGGTCTGGGTCCAATTTGTGGTAGAGACTGGTTTTGTTCAGCCATGCTTGAGCGAGTAATAACAGGTCTGTGCTGCCCTTTGGTGTCTGGCTTAATGCGCACAACACTGAACGTCCCAGCATTTGTCAACGATTTGCCGTTAAGTGATGCAAACCCGCTGAACCACGTTCATGAGGAGCCGGTACAGGGGGCCATGAATCAGTATGGACCTGGCAGCAGTGTGAGGAGACCGAAAGTGGCACATGGCGCAGGGTGGCGGTGGAGGCAGCAGTATTCGGAAGACATACACAGGACTAGTTTAAAAAGCGGAAGCCGTCAGCAGCGTGAGCAGACGACAGAGGCACATGGCGCAGGGTGGCGGTGGAGGCAGCAGTATTCGGAAGCCATACACAGGCCTAGGTTAAAAAGCGGAAGCCGTCAGCAGCGTGAGCAGACGACAGAGGCACATGGCGCAGGGTGGCGGTGGAGGCAGCAGTATTCGGAGCCAGCCATACACAGGCCTAGGTTTAAAACTGGAACCCAGCAGCGTGAGCAGACGACAAAGACGCACATGGCAGAGGATGGATCTGGCAGCAGTATGAGAAGGCGGTACAGGGGCCCGTGGCACAGTGTGGTGATGGGGGCTACAGCAACTGGATGCCAGAAAGTGGCCGATAGGGCTATATACTGCATGGAATTATAAAGTTGTAAAGACAGCGGCCTATAAGGCTATACACACTATAACAATCATGACTTGATTGACCATTGGCCTATAAGGCTATACACAGCATGAATATCATGACTTATTCTGAGAGTGGTTTGGAAGGCTATATATACAAAAAGTAATTCATGAGCTGTCCGGACAGCGGACAATAAGTACATATATACAAATCAATTCATCAGCTGTCCAGCCAGCAGCGGCCTCAAAGGCGACACATATAGAAAGCAATTCATGAGCTGTTCAGACAGCGGCCTCTAAGGCGACAGATATACAAAGCAATTCCCGAGGTGTTCAGGGAGCGGCCTGAACGGCTAGGTTATTACTAAATATATTTTTGTGGCCAAACATCGGCCTATAAATAGATGTCTACACAGTGACAAAAAATTATGTCGCCAGACAGCGGCCCCCTAAGGCGACAGATATACAAAGCAATTCCCGAGGTGTTCAGTGAGCGGCTTGAACGGCTAGGTTATTACTAAATATATCTTTCTGGCCAAACATCGGCCTATAAATAGATGTCTACACAGTGACAAAAAAGTGAGGGGCCCGACCTGCAGAGTATAAGTCATTAAAAATGTGCAAAACATGAGTCGGCCGACCAGCAGCTATAAAAAAAATATATATACAAATGTACGGATCAGGTGGAGGTCTTCCATTTGTCCCTAATAACATGTTTGGGGCATGATTCATGGCGGATTTAGTCAGTTGTGTCAGGAACTGGTGGTTTGAAATCCAGACTAATCCACGCCTGATTCATTTTCACAAACGTGAGTCTCTCCACACTTTGGGTGGACAGTCGTGTCCTCCGCGGAGTTACAATACCTCCTGCCGCACTAAACACGCGCTCCGATGCCACGCTACTGGCCGGGCATGACAGCCTTTCAAGGGCAAATTCAGCTAGTTGGGGCCAAAGGTCAAGTTTCGTTGCCCAGTAGTCAAGGGGATTGTCTACCTCGGTTGGCAGGGTGCTGTCCAAGTAGGCCCAAGCCTGTTGTTTGAGGTCCTGCTCCAGGTCCACCTGATGCTGCTGCTGCTGCTGCGGCTGGTTAGTAGTTTCCTCACTGCGCTGGTGAAAAGCTACTCATCATCGACTGCAGACTGAGGCAGCCGCTGCTGGTGGAGCTGCCACTGCTCCTACCACCCCACCCCTCCCCTGCTGCCATGGCAGCGGAACGCGAGCGCACAGGGCCCACAGTGTCTGAGGATGGACGTTGGCGCAGAAAGGCAGAGACCAACTGACTACATAGGTGGTTTTTATAGTACTTTATTTTGGCCTCCCTCTCAGCAGGTGTGAAAAAGGCCACCATTTTTGAACGGTAGCGAGGGTCCAACAAGGTGGACAGCCAAAAGTCATCCCTCTGTCTGATGGTTATTATTCGGCTGTCGCTACGCAAGCAACCGAGCATGCTATGGGCCATTTGTGCCAAGGAATGCGAGGGACTCCCTGCCTCCATCTCCACAGCATACTGCCACGGTGCGTCTGGGTCCTCCTCTGTCCTCCTCCTCCCTCCTCTACCAGATGCTCCTGCTCCTCCACTCCTGTCCGCTGAGTGGAAAAACCACCCATTTCACTCAATAATTCCTGAGCACCAATGTCCTCCTCTACCTCCTCCTCTTCTTCCTGTCCTGCCCCCACAGGGGTCATGTGGCGTTGAGATCTGTGCGCCACGTCTACCGCACCCTGACCAGCCATTGTTAACAGCATTTGTTCCAGGACGTGCAACAGAGGAATGACGTCGTTCATCCCCCATAGTCCTGCCGACTCACGAATAGCGTGGCCTCCTCAAAGGGCCTGAGCAAGCGGCAGGTGTCACGCATGAGCTGCCAATGGCTGACATCTAAGTTACACAGGGGAGTACCTTTATCCGCTTGTAACATCAGGAAATCGGTGATGGCCTTTCGCTGTTCGTAAAGGCGGTCTAACATATGTAGGGTTGAATTCCACCTTGTTGCAACGTCGCAGATCAGGCGATGCTGTGGAATTCCGTTCTGCCGCTGCAGCTCAAGGAGGGTGTGCTTTGCGGTGTAGGAATGGCTGCTGAAATGCATGCAAAGTTTACGTGACATTTTAAGGATGTCTTGCAGTGGGATGGTGGATTTTAGGAACCGCTTGACAACCAGATTGAACACGTGAGCCATGCATGCGCATGCATGGCACAACCTTCCTTGACGCAGAGCAGACACCATGTTCTTTCCGTTGTGTCGGTCAACATGGTTCCGATTTTCAGTTTGCGCGGAGACAGCCATCTGTCGATTTCTCTGTTCATTACACTCAGAAGTTCCTCCCCTGTGTGTGACTACGTTCGCCAAGGCATACCAGGTGCAGCACAGCGTGACACCGTTGCGCCCTGCACATGTGATATGCCGGTCGGGTAATGGGACTTGGGGGGGGGGTGGCGGCTGAGGACACGGCGGAAGAAGAGGTGGTAGAGGCGGACATCTTTGCTGGACCAAGGACGTGCAAACGTGGAGGCAAAAGCGGCGTGACCTGTCCAAGTTGCTGGTGCGGCTGTGCCGGCACCACGTTCACCCAGTGGGCCGTAAATGACATGTACTGTCCCTGACCGTAGTTACAGCTCCACACGTCGGCGCTGCCGTGCACTTTGGCAGAGACCGACATGCTCAAAGACTGGCCCACCATCTCTTCTACATGTGAATGCAGGGCTGGCACTGCCTTTTTGGCGAAGAAATGCCGGCTTGGCACTCTCCACCGCGGCTCGGCACAAGCCATCATTTCTCGGAAAGGTGCTGAGTCCACCACTTGGAAAGGGAGGGACTGCAGCACCAGCAACTTGGACAGGAGGACGTTCAGCTTCTGCACCGTCGGGTGCGTGCTCGCAAACTGTTGTCTCTTGGAAACGGATTCCAAGAAAGACTGCTGACGGAATCCGTGAAGAGGAGTAGTAGCAGGAGAAGGAGCATCTGAACGAGCGGAAGATGCCAACGAGCGACAACTCCCCTCAGCAGAGGTGTTGGAGCCTTGACTGGCTGATAGAGGGCGATTGACGTCGGGTGACGGAGCAAGTAACGGAGCGGGTGATGGAGCGGGGGCTGGGGCAGGCAGAACCGCCGTATCTTTATCACGGTTTTCCCAGGCCACCGAATGGCGACGCTGCATATGCTGACGCAACGCTGTAGTCCCAACATTGGCCCCCTGGCCACGCTTGACTTTCTGGCCACATAGTCGACATACGGGCTACGTTTACTTCCTCGGGCGGCGGCTTGACGAAAAATTGCCACACCGCCGAGTAGGAAACTTTGCCCCCGCTACTCCTCACTGGCTGACTGCTACTTCCTCCGTGCACACCGGCACCACTACTGGCCGTGGTGGTAGGCTGCAGTGGAGCTGGTGCTTACTCCGTGGCCGTTTGGCTCCACTGACACTGCTGCGACCCTGCTGCCTCCTGGGCAACCCACCGACTGTTTTGCTCGCTGGCAAGCTGGCACCCTCTTCTCCTGATGATGCGGAAGCAATAGCCTGATGACGACGAGGCTGCCAAGTGCGATCAGCCTCATCATCATCAATTAGGGTCTCCGCGTCACTACTAGCCCCCTCGGCTGCGTGTGGGTCAGGAGACAGACCTGTCTCTAGACCGGCTACCGAGCCACTCTCCTCGCCAGTACTCTTCTTCGCCTGGCTGCTGAAGAGGCGGATGTCTCCCCCCGTTCCTGACCGCCCTCTGTTAGCTCTTCCTCACTGTACAGTGGGGCTGAGCCCACAGCATGCGATACTTCGCTTGGTGAGGGAACACCAAAGGACAGGGGCAGGTCGAGGACACGTGATTTCAGTGGGCTTGCTCCCGGGCCATGCCAACTAACGGTTGTGTCTGACGTACCCACCGACCGTTGGCTGTAGGTGTCAGAGGTGACCTGGGAAGAGGAAGACGACCGAGTCAACCAATCGATGACGGCAGGGTTGTCGGTGGAGACACGACCGCTGGATGACACCGGGAGCACTGGCCTCTGGCTGCGACTAGTGCTGCTGCCTCGACCCCTTCCTCTGCTGCCACGTCTGCTCGCTCCTGAAACATTGCCTCCTCTGCCACTCCTCTGCGTGTTGTCTGACATACTCTTTAATTCAATAAGCACCCCAAAAATAAAACCGGATTTAACTCTTTGAACGTACAATAGTGGTTGTGAAGCAGAAAGTCAGTTTATTTAGCACAATCGGTCAATTGCAGCTTGCCGTTGGCTGAAACTGTACGTTTATGTCACTGGAATGCACTAATCACCCAAAAAATATTACCGCCACCCGGCGTGTATATGGATTTAACTCTTTGAACGTACAATAGTGGTTGTGAAGCAGAAAGTCAGTTTTTATTGTACACAATCGGTCAATTGCAGCTTGCCGTTGGCTGGAAACTGTACGTTTATGTCACTGGAATGCACTAATCACCCAAAAAATATTACCGCCAGCCGGCGTGTAAATGGATTTAACTCTTTGAACGTACAATAGTGGTTGTGAAGCAGAAAGTCAGTTTATTGTACACAATCGGTCAATTGCAGCTTGCCGTTGGCTGTAAACTGTACGTTTATGTCACTGG